CAGGTCTTAATTCTCCCATCAATGATGTGTGACAACACATATGAAGTATTGCCACCAGGGAAGCTCATGTAAACCTTGTTGTCTAGGGTTCTTATTGGGAGTCAAGTCATGCAGGCATGGAACACCAACATCACTGACTTTAGCTATCCAGTCTCCAGCCCCTCCAGAGATCAAACTGATAAAGTATTGCCCAGAAATCCAGGTAAACAAAAATAGGCATTCACCATAAATCACATTGTTAGCATAAACTACCTGACAAGCACAAAGACCCTAGGCATATAAAGACAATCTTATCGTGAAGGATGCTTAGAGGTTTTCTCCCAGGAGCCAGTCAAGAGCCAGTTATTTCTTTGGAATGTGCAGAGTTTGAACAACACAAACCCTCTGAGCTAACCCTTTCCTGAACAATAAGCACATTATGAACAATTTTATGCCAATACATTCAACAACTTAGATGAAACAAATAAATATCTTGAAGGAAAAACTACCAAAATCACTCAAGAATAAATAATCTAAGTAGGCCTTTATCTATTAAAAAAATTCAATTTGTAGTTAAAAAGTTTCCCAAAAAGGAAAATTCAGATGGCTTCACTGGTAAATTCTACCAAGTATAGAAGGAAGAATTAATACCAATGCTACACAAGTCTTTCAGAAAATCAAAGAGAAGAAAACATTTCTCATTTGGTGAAACCAGTATTACCCTGACCCCAAAACAAGGGAAACATTACACAAAATTAAACTTTAGACCAATAGCTCTCATGAATATATGCAAAAATTTTAGCCAATCAAATCCAATATACAAAAAGCATAATGTACTATACTACATCTAAGTAGAGTTTATCCCAGGATGCAAGATTGGTGTAACATTGGCCAGCTGATCAATGCAATTCACCATATTAAGAATCTGATAAAGAAAAATCATATTATCATGTCAATAGGCCCAGAAAACACATGCAAGAAAATCCATTATCCATTTCTGATAAAAACTCTTAGAAAACTAGGAATAGAAAGGACATCAACCTAATAAAGGACATCTACCAAAAAAACCTAAAGCTAGCACCACACTTAATGGTGAAAGACTTTATGCTTTTCCCCTAAGATCAGAAACAAGAAAAGATACCCAATCTCATTTTTCTATTCAACATTATACTGGTGGGTCTAGCCAGTGCAATAAGGCAAGAAAAGAAGAAAAGGCATGTAGATTAGAAGAAAGAAAGAAGTAAAACTGTCGTTTGCAGACAACATGATCATCCAGGTAGAAAATCCAATGAAATCTACTTTAAAAAATGCTGCTACAACTATTAAGTGTGTTGGGCTTCCCTGATGGCACAATGGTTAAGATTCGGCCTGCCAATGCAGGGGACACAGGTTCGAGCCCTGGTCCGGGAAGATCCCACACGCTGCAGAGCAACTAAGCCCATGCACAACTACTGAAGCCCATGTGCATAGAGCCCGTGCTCCGTAACAAGAGAACCCATGACAATGAGAAGCCCACGCACCGCAACAAAGAGGAGCCCCCACTCACCGCAACTAGAGAAAGTCCATGTGCAGAAACGAAGACACAACACAGCCAAAAATAAAAACAAATAAATACAAAATTTAAAAAAAAATAAAGTGTGTTTATCATGGTTGAGCAACAAAAATTGATTTTATTTCTATATAGTAGACACAAAATATTAAAAATTGAATAAAATTGCTATTTACAATAGCATGTTATTAATTACTTATGGATAAATCTGATAGATGTGCAAGACATATATTGAAAATTATGGGATACTGCTGAAATGCTATTTTAAAGGCTTTATAAAATGGCATCTTCTTTTCAGCCTATTTTTTTAATAAATTTATTTATATTTTATTTATTTATTTTTGGCTGCACTGGGTCTTGGTTGCTGCATGCAGTCTTTCTCTAGTTGTTGTGAGCGGAGGCTACTCTTCGTTGTAGTGCACAGGCTTCTCATTGTGGTGGTGGAGCATGGGCTCTAGGTGCGTTGGCTTCAGTAGTTGTGGCTCACGATCTCTAGAACGCAGACTCAGTAGTTGTGGCGCACGGGCTTAGTTGCTCCACAGCATGTGGGATCTTCCCAGATCAGGGATCAAACCCATGTCCCCTGCATTGGCAGGCAGATTCTTAACCACTGTGCCACCAGGGAAGTCCTTTTTCAGCCTATTTTTAATGTTTTTTATTTACTAAACCATGAGGCCATGGCTGCAACTAGCAATAAGTAACAAATGGGGTTCATAGAAACTCATACTGGAAAGGAATCTCAGAATATATAAGATGCGGAAATGTTTCAGTACTTAACTTTGAAAGGTTTCTTCTTTCAATATTTATGTGAGTGCTCAGTAAGTGTCAAACACTTATACACTGAGTAAATAAAAGATGCATCACCTGAACTTGTGGAGATATTAACTAGTAAAGGGAAACAGAAAATAAACAAATGCAAATAATTTAGAAGTTGTAATTAGTGCTAAGTGAAAATAATAAAGAACACAGAAATGTAAAAAACTGGGGTGCTATTTGGATAGAATAGGGTAGTCATTGAAGTCTAAGTGGACATTCAGGTCAAAACCTGAAGCAGAAAGAGCCAGCCAGATAAAGTAAAGATCATTACAGCCAAATGGAACAGGAGTTGGGAACGCCTTGGGTAGGGCAGTAGGGGATGCCAGGAGAGACTGGCATGTTCTAAAACTCCAAAGAAAGCCAACCTGGCTGGAGTGTAGGGAATGTGGAATAAAGGGAAAGACAGCACAATGGTCACGTAAGAGGTAGGCAGGGATCGGATCATGCAGGCTCATGTAGGAACTGGGATTTTATTCAAAGGGCAATGGGAAGCTGTTTTACAGTTTTAGGCAGGCTATAGACATTAGATTTTTCTTTTCTAAAAAATTACTCTAGCTTCTCTGTTGGAGAATCAACTGGAGCCAATATAATAGTCTAAGTTGTCACAGATGGTCCCCTTTTGCTACAAACACAAAAATGCTGTACACTACACAACATGTTTTTATTTAGAAGAAAAAATACATCACAGAACTTAAAAGAAAGCAAAAAGAGATGTAGGAAGCAAATCCAAGGGGTACTCTACCTGAATGTGTGCTGGGGATTTGATTCCTAAACAGATATGGAGACAAGATCACCGAAATAAAGTTCAGAGTGTGGAAACTCCTAAATTAATTTACAACTCCTAAATTAATTACCATGGTCCACATGGTAACAGAGGATTAGAGAAAACTCAGCCTACTGCTTTGTAAAAGCAGTAAGGAAGACTGTTATCTCTGAGTTTTATATATATATATGTGTATACATATATATATATATTTTTTAAAGGGCATCTACAGATACTTGAGGCCTGTATCATACAGTGGGGGTTAGATCTAAATTTATATTACAAGTTTAAAAAATTACCTTAAATCTGGTTTAAAGCAAATGAAACTTCTAGGGACCAGCAAAACCAATCTGTAGTCTCTCAATCCAAGATATAAAGGGCTCTCACAGAACTTTTTTGAAGATAAACTCCCAATAAAATATACATTATTTGAAGAAACCAGTCACCATGAGGGAGAGCTAACAGAAACAACAAACAGTAGATTCAGAAGCTTGCAAATTGGAAATTATAACTTTATACTGATGTTGTCTTTTACTATAATCTTGCTCGTGCTTTGGTTCTCATCCAGGGTTAATGCAAAACTTTTTAAAATACCTTAATTTTCATCTCTATTATGATTACGACACTTCTTGAAATCTACCCAAAGTGAGCTAAAGAAAGTTTATGTATAAAATTTAACATGGGGCATACAAGGTGGTTCATTTTTATTAGATGGAACTAGATAGCTGATGCCTGTAAATGGCAAACTGAATTAACTACCAGAATGTACCGAGCCCCATCTACTATTTTGAAGCTAGATTATCTGTATACTTTAACGTATTTAGTCTAGCTTCAAAAACTGGATGAATCTGGCTCCTCCAATCCTTTTGGATAGCATTTTTTTAAATGTTAGGAAAAATGAGTCCACGTTTAAAATGAAGAGTTTGTGCACACCTAAATTTAAGAAATCGCTTTTAAGTTTAAAAGCTTAAAGGTTACAAAGAGAATTCCAAACACCCTTCACCTTCTAATCACCTGTTTAAGCTTGAAATATTCATTCCAACTCTTTTCTTGGTGTAGTATTTTAGTTTTAGTCTACTTCTTTATTTCAATTTGTTTAAAAATATTGACACACTAAAACCAAAAGCCACACATGTGATTTTTAAATACAAGCCAAAATAACTCGTTTTAAAAATGCAAAACAGTGAAAAGAGAAACACGAAAAATTAAGTGGTCTCATTTAAATCATCCTGATCTATATGTACTTTGACAACGTTTGCATCTTTTAATCTCCAAAATCTTGCTTAAAATGAGAAAATGGAAGCCCAGAGTGGTAACGTGTTCAAGGTAGTACCAGAACATTGAAATCAGGACTCCAGGCGGGAGAAGCCTAGGAAGTGTTTTCCCATCCCCCCAGCGCCGACGTTTTTACATTGTCTTCTCTGAACATAAAAACAGAGGACAGATCATTTTTAAGAGGAGGGATTTAGACATCCCTTAGGAGAAAGGTTACAGATTAGCGAGAATCTTTCAGAAAATCGAAGAACCAACTCCCAATCAACAGAAATCTAGGAGTCGCTACAGCCTGGGGGAGACCTGGCTACGCTGTTAAACGTGTCTTGTTCCTTTTCCACTATTATACCCCAGTCCTCTGAAATGATTCTTTATAATTAAAAGCCTAAATCTGAACATTCTTGAGTCAACTTGCGGGATGATTTCAGCGCAGTTTTGGAAGAAGCCACTACAAGCCACGCAGCAAAACCCTCCACCACCAACACGTAGAGTGCTCCGCCCCAGTAAATTGGAGGGCGCCAAGAGGCAGCTCTGTCCTCCCTTTTCCGCCACCGACTCGTAGTCACTTCCTCACTGCCTGTTTATCTCCACATTTATTTCCATTGCTATTTCCCCCTTTACCTCTTGAAGCGATAATCCAACAAGCATAGGAGACAGGGAGAAAGAGCAGCCAGGTCAGGGGAAATGAATGTCTGCGAGGCCACGATTTCTTCACGCAGTTTGTCCGGCACTGACGGAGAGAGCCTCGAAGAGAGCCGGGTCCTGCTGCACGGGAGAGGGGGCCTTGCGTCCAGAGCTCGATGCGCTGATTGGTTGGTCAGCCGCGGCCGGGGAAGAACCCGGATGTGCCTGGGTAGCTGTGTTGGCAATTGGGGTTCTGAGGTTTGGGCGTTCTGGGCGTGCTGGCAAGTCGAGGCGGATGGCGCGGGGTTGGGCTGGCTTCTCTGAGGAGGAGCTGAGGCGACTAAAGCAGACTAAAGGTAAAGGGACGGGTCTGCACAGATTTAATTCTTGGGTCTGTTAAGGGGAAGGGGCGGGGTTGCAGTTTTTGAGGGGAAAGGGGCGGGGAAAAGGGTTATCTGTGTTAGGGGAAGGAGCTATAAGTGGGAGGAGAGGCTTGAGAGGGCGCCAGAAGTGGATGTGCTTGGAGCCACGGCTGGGGGAGGGGGGCAGGCACAGAGAACTGGGGTCTACTTTTAGAAAAGAGACTTCAGGCATTTATTTCAGGGATTTGACTTTTTCCGGTGAAAGGAAGTGGACTTGGGAGAGGAAGTGACCTGTTAGGGGGATTGCTGCATAGATCAGTGGTTGGAGGGTTGGGGTCTGAGTAAAGGAAGGAGAAGGGGCACACACCATATTAGGTTTGTGATGAATTTATAGAAGCAGGCAATGATTGGGAAAAAGGATCACAGAGGTCTGAATAAATGCAAAAAGTTGGTGCTTTTCATAAGACATCTGGAGTCTTGCTTTCACTTGCCAGGTGATTTTTGCAGCTCTTTCCAACTCTTGAGAGTCAGCAAACCAAAAGGGTCTTTGAGAAGATAGATGTGAAATATCTAGCTACCTATCTACGCCTCTGTCCATCCATCCATCCATATCTACTGACTTTAGTGTAAGCTAAAATTTTGTGCTTCCTTCTCCAGCTTTATAACGTAATCATTGAATGGACTTGTACTATTTTGTTATCTTTCAATGAAGAAATTAAGTTTGCTGATACTTTGTGAGAAACTCTTGGTAATATAAACGGTGCTTTGATTGTGGTTGAAATTTAGTAAAGTTCTGTACAGTGATCCTGGTAGTGCACACCTCTTCTGTGAGCTTACACCATTCTTGGTGTCATAACTTATACATTGTGGGAGAAAATTAAATAAGCTCTGCCATGCCTTTAATTAGAGTATGTGAGAAAACTGGATGTTTTCTCAGGTAAGCTTGTGCATTTTTAGCATGGTTGTGAAAATAATCTAGGGCTGACAAGTGGAAAAGGAAGTAAATTTGTAATGTAAGGCCAGTGTAGATTATGTAGATCGAGGAAATTTTGACTGGTCCAGAGACCTTTTAAAACTAAATCATAAAAGTTACACTACAGTTTGTAATTAACTGACATTCCCATGTTCAGATGTATGGAGTACTAGTACCCCTGCTTCTGGTCTGACCAGAAGTTACGGGTATCAGCTTCTGCAATTAGGGATGCTGATATGAACAAGGCCTCATCCCTGCCTTCGAAGAGCTTATAGTCTAATGAGGAGACAAACTATAATATAATGTGATAGTAGATGTTGTACAAGAGCTTGCTACAGAATTAGCAGGAACTTTACTGTGCTGGTGGTTGGGTGGAGCTTGGCACAATTTCACAGAAATTATGTGTTAGCAGAGGTGAGTTTGCCAGGGGAAAGAAGACTTAACGTAGAAGGCTAAATTAAACATTGGGTTCATTATGTGGAAGTAACGTTTCGTACGTTAAGGACCTTAACTTAAAGACCTATCATTTCAGTGAGAGGTTAGAGCATAGACGTCAACTCACTAGTCTTTGATCACCTTAAGAAAACATCTCAGCATCTTTGTATACTCATAGCCAAACGCTCATTGGTATATAGAAGATCTCCCAGCTCTGCCTCTAAATCTTTTTGTCTTGAAGTTCTTATTTATAAGACTAGAACAGCTGAATCTTTAATTTTTAAGGCTCCTTCCAGCTGTTCTCCAGCCTTAAAAATATATTTAGGGCTTCCCTGGTGGCGCAGTGGTTGAGAGTCCGCCTGCCGATGCAGGGGACGCGGGTTCGTGCCCAGGTCCGGGAAGACACATGCCACGGAGCGGCTGGGCCCGTGAGCCATGGCCACTGAGCCTGCGCGTCCGGAGCCTGTGCTCCGCAACGGCAGAGGCCACAACTGAGAGGCCCGTGTACCGCAAAAAAAAAAAAAAATATATATATATATATATATTTAAATAACCTATGAAGATGGGGTTGGTTGCCAGCAAAAATAAAGACAAGACTACTCTAGAGAAACCCATATGGGCATTTGGGAAAGTCAAAAAGTTCTTAATAATCTTGTTTATATTGTTTATAATATTAAAAAGCTGGAAACAACCCAAGTGTTCATTAACAAGGGAGTGGATAAATAAATTGTGGTATAATCATCCACTGGGCTACTATACAGCTAGTGGGAATATATGAACTATAGTCACATGTATTAACATGTATAAATTTCATAAACTTAATAATTATGAAAAGAACAAATTGCAGAAGAATATATACAGTCTGATACCATGTATAGAAGTTCAAAATCATACAAAGCAGGTATATTCTTTTAGGAATATAGGAGATATATAAAGAAAATCAAAGGAATGAAACACAAAATTCAGGGTGGTGGGAAGGCAAGGGAATATGAACAAGAAGGGGCAAATACACTTTCAGAAGTACTGAAAATTATGAAATCAGGTTAAGCCAATTTAAGCTGCAGTAACACATATCCCTAAAGTATCAGTTGTTTGAAATAATAAAGATCTCTTTTCCACTCTAGTTTCATGTCTTCCATGGGTTGACATGGTCACTACACACCATGATTTGGTATTGTCATAGGAGTTCACCATGGCAGGAGAAGATTGAGAATTGAGCATTGGGAATGTGTCACTCCTACTTATGTTTCATTTAGCAAAAGTAAGTCATATGACTTGGAGGACAGGAAGTAAAATTATCTTGTGTGTTCCAAAAGAGGGGTAATGTGTCAGTCCTTGAACATCAGTTACGTCTACTGTAGTCATGTTTTATAAAACTGTGTTATGAGTTTTTATACTTCGTACAAGTTGGATGTGTATATGTAACAGAGACATACATATTATTTAATGTATAGTTTATTTTGTAATGAAAAAATTGTAAATAAACAGTGCTGTCAATTTCTAATTAAAGAAAATATTCACGAATTCTTTTTTTTTAAATTTTATTTATTTTTGGCTGCATCGGGTCTTCGTTGCTGTGTGCGGGCTTCCTCTAGTTGTGGCAAGCAGGGCCTACTCTTCATCGTGGTGCACGGGCTTCTCATTGTGGTGGCTTCTCTTGTTGCAGAGTATGGGCTCTAGGCGCGCAGGATTCAGTAATTGCAGCACATGGGCTCAGTAGTTGTGGCATGCGGCTCTCTAGTTGTGGAGAGCAGGCTCAGTAGTTGCGGTGCACTATCTTAGTTGTTCCATGGCATGTGGGATCTTCCTGGGCCAGGGATCGAACCTATGTCCCCTGCATTGGCAGGCAGATTCTTAACCACTGTGTCCCAAGGGAAGTCCTGAGTTCTTTTTTCTAGATACTAGTTCTTTGCCAGTTAAATTATGAATATCTTCTCACAGTATGTAATTTATCTTTTAACTCTTATCTTTTAATGAAGAAAGTATTTAATTTTAATATGGACAAATTTGTTAATTCTTCTTTTATAGCCAACGTTTTCTGTATTTTAAGAAATTAGCACCCTACTATAAGTTCTAAAAGATATTAATCCCTATTTTCAATTAAAAGTTTTTAAAAATCATTTTTATTATAAGCTGTAGCAGATTCAAAACATTGCATAAAGAAATGTGTTTCTGATGTGTTTTAAAGTGTTGATTTGACATTTAAGTCCTTAATCCATTTGGTGAGTGTTTTGTTTGTTTTTATATGGTATGAAGGATAGAGCTGATTTCATCTTTTCCATATAGATAACCAGTTTTCTCCCAGGTTCATTTATTGAAGAGATCCCACCTTTTGTTGTTGATCTGCTGTGCTACCTCTGTTGTATACCAGTGCTTCAAACATGTATGAGCTTGTTTCTCTGTTCTTTATTCTAATCCATTGGTCGCTTATCTATTCCTGCACTGATACCACAGTGTTTTAAAGTTTTGCAATATTCCTGATAGCTAGTAGTCTAGTCCCCTTCTTTTTCTTTGGAAGTTTCCTTGCTATTCTTGAACTTTTACCCCTTCATATAAAAATTTTGTGATTTTACCAAATTTCATGGAAAACCCAGTTGAAATTTTTATTGGAATTGCATTGAGTCTTTAGATCAATTTGGGGAGGTTTCACATTTTCACATTGTGAACACTACCACTAACGCAGTATGTGTCTTCATTTATTTAGGTCTTCTTTAATATCTTCTAATAAAATTTTAGAATTTTTCCTGTAGAGGTTTTGAACACTCTCTTGCTAGATTTGTTCCTAGATACTTGATAATTTCTAGTATTGAAATATCTTCTCTTTAATTATATTTTCCAATTGCTGCTGACATATGAAGAATACAAACAAGCCAAAATAAAAATCAACAAAAGATATGAATATATATTTCTTAGTAAGGGAAATATGAAGAGATGCTTATCACCGTCAACAATCAGAATTACAAATCAGGACCACAGTGAGATACTACTTCATACCCATTTGATTGACAAAAATCAAAGTTTGATACTATTATATATTGAAGAGAAAGTGCATCCACAGGATCTTATACGTTGCCAGAGGGAATGCACTTTGGAAAGCAACTTGACGTTTCTCCTAAAGTTATACTTTATGACACAACAGTTCTTAGATGGTATCTAAGGTAAATTCTTGTACCTATACAAGAGGAGACATTAAAATTAAATTAGCATTAAAATTGAATGGCTAAAGCAACATGAACAATATGGATGAACATTGGCAATATCATATTAAGTTAAAGATTACATCCACCATGACACCCTTTATATAAAGTTAAAGCGAAATAAAATTTTAAATATTTGTAGATGCAGTATGACATAAAAAGCAAAGGAAGGGAATGATCAACACATGATTCA